TATATTCATATATATATATATATATTTTTTTTTATCAGTGAATTATGGCTACAGACAAAAAATGAAGAAAATGTCAGTCTAAAAGGAAGGGGTGGCGGGGCGGGGAAATTATGCATAGATAAACTTGCATTTTATTACAGTGTGTGTGTGTGTGCACGCGCTTGTGTTTGTCTGAAAAGAAAAAGAAAATGTTAATTTCAATAATGAAAAAAAAGTAAATTGAATGCTGTATTATTTTACAGTGACATGGGGAAAGCAGACTTTTAAGCATGATTTTATTAGTCTACTAAACCTTATATACTGTTTTATAAAACCAAGGAAAGGAATTCTGAATATTTAAAGAGATGTAAAAACAGAATACATTTTTTAAAAAGTGATTTAAATCACTGAGTTTTATTTTTTAAATCAAGTTGATTAAATTTTTTTTTTAATCAACTGATTTAAATCGACCTGATTTAAATCAACCCAACCCTGATTTCAATTATGAAAAAAAAGTAAATTGAATACTGTATTATTTTACAGTGAAAGGAGGGAAAGCAGACTTTTAAACATGAATTATATTAGTCTACTTAACCTTATATCTGTTTTATGAAACCAAGGAAGGGAATTCTGAATGTTGAAATATGTAAAAACTGAATAAAAATAAATTTAAAAAAAAGTGATTTAAATCACTAATTTTTATTTAAAAAATCAAGTTGATTTAAATAAAAAAAATCAACTGATTTAAATCAACCTGATTTAAATCAACCCAACCCTGCACACACACACACCACAGTAAACATTGTAATATAATGTATAATGTGAAAGAGCTAAAATATGCGGTAACGTCAAGAAACAATATTATGAATAATGTAAGATGGAAGTTACTGAGATTAATAGAAACTCACTTGATCGGCACAGAAAAAGAAACACACTACTTAAGTCTAAGCTAGAAAACAAACTGAAAGTGAGAAGCAATAAATCGCTGGTCCTGGCCTCCAGTACAGTACTTTACTCGTACTTTCTACACCCCCATACAAAATATCGACGTGCACTGAACCCGTTAAATATATGTAATAAGAACTGTCCTGTATGATGACAAAAAGTCAATTGCTACTGTACCAGTGACGCTGTCCCAAGCAGATCAAGTCTACAATCAGATGCTATACAAAGCTGGACAAAGTTAGCACACAAGTTTCCGATCATTATATCATCAAATGTACTTCATCGCACTTGTCAGTTCTCAGAACTGAACACTGAACACTGTGTTGTAACAAAGTGGGGAAGTGTGTCAAACGCTAATTATAGAACTTGGTGTCTAATTGGGGGGGGGGGGGGGGGGGGGAGGGTTGAAAAGGGGAGGGAACCGAGGGGGTTTTCGGCCCAGACTCTGACAGCCGAGTGTCTATCGTTCCTCGTTAAAATTCTCCTTATATACCTTCACTAGACAAATCCTCCCTCCGCCCGGCCAGACTCCTAAGGGCCAGGTAAGTTATTAGTGGGGAGAAAACGATGAGTAAATGCCAAACAGGAACTATAGGTGGTTAAAAAGTCAATAAACAAAAAAGAATAGTGCCAAGCTGACAATAAATGTTCTGATAGCAGTTAGAGAAAGGCTGAATGATAAATACATGTTTTGCTGATAAAATGATACATGTGTCTGTGCTGCTCAAGGCAGTCTCATTCTTAATTTTGTAAGCTACAAAGAGGCCAATCTGGCAATTAAGGGATGTACGAATCTTTCTTTCGACTGACGTCATCGCTAGATGTAGTACGAAGTTCCGCGAAGTGACGGTTTGATGGGAGACAATTTAAAGTTACGAGCCGGCGCGATAACAAACGTGAAGGAAGGAGGTTATGTCGCGACAAAACAGCAGTGAATCCCACTTGTCTATTCGAGCGCCTTCAAATCGGCAAGGTGTTTTTGAATGTTGATACATGTTTGTTTGGATTTACTTAAAACTGAATGAAAATCGTCATCAGCAATAAACCTCTAGACAACAGTTCAGTTGACAAAAATCAGACCGGCACCGCCGGTCTTGCCCAGTTAACAAACTGCTCCTGTATATACATATATATATATATATATATATATATATATATATATATATATATATATATATATATATATATAATATAATATAATATATATATATATGTATGTATGTATACATATATTTATTTATATGTATACATGTATTTATTAGTTCTGGTCTTTTCCCTGTCACCCAACTGTTTAGACTTTCCTTGAATGTTATTCAAGTATTCAAGATAAATGGATATTTTAATCATCAAAAGAAGTTACCAGTAACTCCACAGGCCCTAAAATTGACGAGTTCCTCAATCATGGCACATTGGTTTTTATCATTAAATGGTAAAATCAGTGCATGCTAGATGAAATAAAAGGAATAGGTGTGAAATCAGGCGCTCGTCAAATTAATGGAATCATGGAAATCGGCATTTTAAAATCAGTTTGGCAATTTTTTATAACTATTGTTTTTTAAATTTTTGGTTTAAAACCTTTTAAAACCACTCAAAAACACACTTCTGTTCACATATTTCGGAATAAAACGTTAATTAAAGGCCAAAAAAGTCAATTTTCAGTTTTTAATGACTCTCAAATTACCAAACTTTTTCAGCCATTTTCTCGTTCATTTTACCTCTGAAACCAGCGACCCCTTCCTCCTTCAATCGCAAATATTTCGACTTCTATTTAAGATAAATGGGTATATTTTTCACAAATGATACCAATAGCTCCATGTACCCAAACATTGACGAGTGTCTGATTCCACCGCGTTGTGACACAAATGACCCCACAAATCCCATTACGTCACAAAAAGAGACAGGCAGAGAAAAGAAGATGTAAGAGCCACTATTGGCACTGAGTCCTGCCTACATTTCATAGAAAAAGAGAATAAACAAATGGTTCGGCCACCTGTTACGAATGACAGCTAGCCTGCCAGCCTCGAGAGCATTTTAATACCAAGTACTCCATCTATAAAAGAATAGGCAAACCACGCAAAAGATGGATTGGGAGAGTCAAAAATACTTTGAAAAATTGTTATACCCGAGAGCTCATATAACCTTATGCAGTTGGGAGCGCCCCCCCCCCCCCCCCC